CCCCCGCTTGATGTATGTGAAATTGCATATGAACTCAAAAACGACAATTCTGCAATCATCTACTTACCCTGATGTTGATTACCCAGCATGAAGAGAGTTCATGCTGCTCTTTTTCATGCAATGAAGTGAATGGGTACAGATGCTGTTTAGTTTGAAAAAAATACAAGAAAAGCACCATAAAAGCATTAGAAAAGTATAGACTTGTTCACTATATTGGTGTACTTATAGTTCAAAGTATGAAAAAGAGCAACTTCAAAAATTAGAATCTGTTTAATATCCTTTAGTTTGAAAGAAAACATGCCATTTCATTCAATATGCCCAACTTTCATCTAACATTTGCTTGAAATATGAAAAGCTCCAACATTCTTTGAAGAAATCAATGTGACATAAGTACACCCAAGATGGCAGATGTTAGATCCATCTTACAGCCCTAACACCTTACTCCAGTCAGAGAAAGAAGTGTAACAAAGTCCAAAAAATGGCGAAATATACAAGCGACCCAATGCTTCAGAGGTCTTCCAGGGATCCCGCAGCAGCAGGCCTCACACCATTCTGTAATGAGCTCATCTGTATGCAGTGTCTTCTTCAAATCTGTGTCATCAAAAGCCTTATTTCCCAGCAGGTTTAGAGCTTCTACACATTCTCTCTTTTTATTTCTGTCTCTCTCTCTCTCTTTCTCATTCACTCCCTTTCTCTCTTTCCCTTACCTTAATAGTTTGTAAAGTGTTCCTTGGCAACTTGAAATGTAAAAGCATGTGATGTCCAGTGGGAAAAATATTTACACCCCATTTTAAAGATTGCTGAGCAGGAGATCACCTGTTACAGAAGCTCAGTGGAAATGCAGTTTGAAATGAATTGTTAGTATGTCTCGCTTTAACAGATGCCTGTATTTTGTTTTAAAGTCTAAATGTGTTGTGTGATTCCTGCTGCAATAATTGTTAAACTGTTTTAGTTGGTTACTAGTTAATAAAAATGCCTTATAATCTTACAACTGAAGTTAAACTTACAATGAAACCTAAACTGCCTATGATAACAAGACCTAAATCATTTTAAACACGGCTAAACCTTCTTAAACAGTGTATAAATGTGCAATGTGCTAAGATGTCTTTCAAACTTTAAAGGCAACAGCGACAATGAGCGTTATCAAATGGCTAATAAGAAAATCCCATTCAAATATACCCGGCCGGTCGAAGATTGGCTACATGAGAAAGGTAACCCTCACAAGACCCTCAGTGTTTTGTTTTTTTGTTGATTTTAATTTGCGTTCATATGCTCCTTGAAAAGAGCAACTTCAAAAATTAGAATCTGTTTAATATCCTTTAGTTTGAAAGAAAACATGCCATTTCATTCAATATGCCCAACTTTCATCTAACATTTGCTTGAAATATGAAAAGCTCCAACATTCTTTGAAGAAATCAATGTGACATAAGTACACCCAAGATGGCAGATGTTAGATCCATCTTACAGCCCTAACACCTTACTCCAGTCAGAGAAAGAAGTGTAACAAAGTCCAAAAAATGGCGAAATATACAAGCGACCCAATGCTTCAGAGGTCTTCCAGGGATCCCGCAGCAGCAGGCCTCACACCATTCTGTAATGAGCTCATCTGTATGCAGTGTCTTCTTCAAATCTGTGTCATCAAAAGCCTTATTTCCCAGCAGGTTTAGAGCTTCTACACATTCTCTCTTTTTATTTCTGTCTCTCTCTCTCTCTTTCTCATTCACTCCCTTTCTCTCTTTCCCTTACCTTAATAGTTTGTAAAGTGTTCCTTGGCAACTTGAAATGTAAAAGCATGTGATGTCCAGTGGGAAAAATATTTACACCCCATTTTAAAGATTGCTGAGCAGGAGATCACCTGTTACAGAAGCTCAGTGGAAATGCAGTTTGAAATGAATTGTTAGTATGTCTCGCTTTAACAGATGCCTGTATTTTGTTTTAAAGTCTAAATGTGTTGTGTGATTCCTGCTGCAATAATTGTTAAACTGTTTTAGTTGGTTACTAGTTAATAAAAATGATTTTAATCTTACTTATAATCTTACAACTGAAGTTAAACTTACAATGAAACCTAAACTGCCTATGATAACAAGACCTAAATAATTTTAAACACGGCTAAACCTTCTTAAACAGTGTATAAATGTGCAATGTGCTAAGATGTCTTTCAAACTTTAAAGGCAACAGCGACAATGAGCGTTATCAAATGGCTAATAAGAAAATCCCATTCAAATATACCCGGCCGGTCGAAGATTGGCTACATGAGAAAGGTAACCCTCACAAGACCCTCAGTGTTTTGTTTTTTTGTTGATTTTAATTTGCGTTCATATGCTCCTTGTCATTTCGTTTCGTTATATTTTTGTCCAACCAGGTCTGATGAGTCTTTGCTTAGCCTTTTGCCACTAATTAACCTAAACATTTTCATAATTTACTTCCCTTCCCATTACGTAATAATTTCGTTGAGCATTATTTTTTTTATGTGGATTATGATCCTCTTTTGTTATTTCCATCAGATCATTGACCAGTTAAAGGGACTGGTAACTAAGAATAACATTGCATAAGTATGTACTGTAGCTTCTGGACTCCAACTTTAAATCTAAACCAAAACTCAACAAAAGTCAGGATGCTTGTTTTTAACTTTTCATTGGAATGATCTTCCATAGCGTTAATGTTAGTGGTGGAATAGCCCAAAAACCCAACCCTTAATGCAGCACGTTTCCAAAAACAACAAATTGGTGCTGAAGTGAAACACCACTTTGCAGACTAAAGCAATTTTGTGTTTGAAGCCGGTGATGAAATCGACCGACACCTCTTCAGTTTCATTCAAAAACAGGATGAAAGGGCGGGGTGACCATTTATCAAATTTACCATTAAAGTCCTTTGGATTATTAAATGCGTTTAAAGGTCATTGCCTAAACTACATAAGATGATTATAAAGTCCCTTTAACACTGTCTAAAACCACATTGAAATCCCATTAGTGGTTCTACATGCATGAATCAACATGACATTCCTTTGAAATGTATGAGATGAGCTTTCTTCCTTGCCCGCTGTAATATATTGTAAATGTGTAGTAGTTTTAATCAGCCTGCATTTCTATTTCTAACCATATGAAAAGCCATTTGGAATTTTCCCCAAAACATTTGCATGAGAAGCACCTTAGAGTGGACTCTGCAAAAAAAAGAAAAAGCTCATTTTAATTTTTAATGGATTTTAAAAGCTTGACCGTTAATGTTAACATTAATCAATTAGCTAAATTTAAAAAAAATAATAATAATAAATAAAAAATAAATGACGTAAACCATTTTGACTGTGTTTTCCTTCACTGGTCTTCCCCTCAGGTCGTCAGCTGACCATTTTTAACACCCAAGCCACCATCTCAATAGGCGGTAATGACCGCAAGCGACCGTATCAAGGCCAGCTCTCTGGTCTTTATTACAATGGCCTGAAGGTTCTCAACATGGCAGCTGAAGGTCATGCTAACATCAAGATAAATGGCAGTGTGAGACTGGTGGGGGATGTGCCCACCAGCAGAAGCCCCTCACGTACCACCACCTCCATGCCCCCAGAGATGTCCACCACCTTCATCGAGACCACCACCACCCTGTCAACCACCACTACCCGCAAGCAGCGTTCACCACCCACCATTCAGGTAAGATCTATTGATTTTCTCCATTTTATCTCCTTGAACCAAGGCAAAATTGTGAGGGTTGGCCACATACTCAGCAGTGTAAAGATGTTTATTGTGCATTTGTATTTCTTCTAAGACATGATAAGTTAAGAGACATTCAGTTCTCATGTCTAAACCTTTGTCTACTGCCCTTTTAGTATTAAAGTTATCGAAATTTTCCAATGAGGCATGGTGTGTGTCCGTGTCCAGCATTCAAACGTTTATGTACTGTAAAATATGTAAAACACTTAAAGAAAGGTGGGCAAAAATTGGGAAAAAATTATCATCTCATGTTGTTTCAAACATTTATGACTTAATTTCTTCTGTGCAACACAAAAGAAGAATATAAGTTGAAGGTAACAGCTTCACTTTTTCCCGCATGGAAAATGGATGGTGATTTATACTGACATGCTCCAAAATAAATTAAAAACACCATAAAAGTACCCATATGAGTCATGCACATATAATCCAAGTCTTCTGAAGTAATAGCATAGCTTTGTGTGAAGAACAGACTGAATTTGTTGTAGTTTACTTGTACTTTACTAATAATCTTCCCCTCTGCCTTAGCCATGGCAAGAACAATGGCATTTGCCATTAAAAACATCATACCTTATGTGACTAGTGTGCCAAAAAGTCAGCATTTGTGTGCTCCAAATGAGGGGAAGATTATAAGTGATGAATAACGTCTTAATTTAGTTTGTTCCTCACACAAAGCTATCATTATCGTTTGTTTTAGAAAACATTAAATAGAATTTTTTTTATAATTTTATGCAACCACCTTCATCGAGACCACCACCACCCTGTCAACCACCACTACCCGCAAGCAGCGTTCACCACCCACCATTCAGGTAAGATCTATTGATTTTCTCCATTTTATCTCCTTGAACCAAGGCAAAATTGTGAGGGTTGGCCACATACTCAGCAGTGTAAAGATGTTTATTGTGCATTTGTATTTCTTCTAAGACATGATAAGTTAAGAGACATTCAGTTCTCATGTCTAAACCTTTGTCTACTGCCCTTTTAGTATTAAAGTTATCGAAATTTTCCAATGAGGCATGGTGTGTGTCCGTGTCCAGCATTCAAACGTTTATGTACTGTAAAATATGTAAAACACTTAAAGAAAGGTGGGCAAAAATTGGGAAAAAATTATCATCTCATGTTGTTTCAAACATTTATGACTTAATTTCTTCTGTGCAACACAAAAGAAGAATATAAGTTGAAGGTAACAGCTTCACTTTTTCCCGCATGGAAAATGGATGGTGATTTATACTGACATGCTCCAAAATAAATTAAAAACACCATAAAAGTACCCATATGAGTCATGCACATATAATCCAAGTCTTCTGAAGTAATAGCATAGCTTTGTGTGAAGAACAGACTGAATTTGTTGTAGTTTACTTGTACTTTACTAATAATCTTCCCCTCTGCCTTAGCCATGGCAAGAACAATGGCATTTGCCATTAAAAACATCATACCTTATGTGACTAGTGTGCCAAAAAGTCAGCATTTGTGTGCTCCAAATGAGGGGAAGATTATAAGTGATGAATAACGTCTTAATTTAGTTTGTTCCTCACACAAAGCTATCATTATCGTTTGTTTTAGAAAACATTAAATAGAATTTTTTTTATAATTTTATGCAACTTTTTTTTTTTTCATTTTGGAGCTTGGCACTATAAAATACAGGGTTTTTTTGTGTGTTTGTTTCACAGAAGAAAGAAAGTAATGAAGTGTGGGGATTATATAAGTGTGCGTATATGATGACTATCTTCCCTGGGGGTGATATGTGATACATTCCACTGTATGTGCTGAGTAGATGCCTTTTGGAGTCTGTCGACTACCAGAATGCTTTCTTTTAACACAGTCTGACATGAACCCAATGAATGTCTGATCATGCTGACCATTTCATTGATGCTAGGGGAAAAATTAAAGCAGCAGTCTTCGTATTAAAGCCATAACTCTCTCTAGGGCACTACTCAGCGATAGGCCAAGAAGACTTATTCTCTCCTCACCTTTAAACAGATCAGCCAACATAATAATAACCTCTCGTGTTAGTGCTGACTTCATCAGTGCGTTGGCAACCCAACCATTGATAAGAGCCTTTAAACTCACATGCAGATCATTTCAGGGCATAAAGGCTCTTTTTCCTTCTTGGCCTTTTAGCTATCTATATTTCCAATAAGACAGGAGCTGGGTGTGAACTCACATCACCCATGATTTAACATGCTAACTAGTAGGCCTCAGCCCTGCGTGAATGCTATTTATATATCATGTTAGAATATTAGCACGGTTACCTCACAGCAAAAAGGTCCCCTGCTGAGTCATGGCTAAATCAGGACATCATTCTGTGCTTTCCATGTTGGAGTGGCTCGTCTGAATACTTCAATTTCCCCAACAATCCAAGGATCTACAGGTTAGGTGAACTAGAGACTGCATTAGGTGTGATTGAGAGTGTGAATGTGTGTATCTGTCTGTGTATTTTAGCCCTGTGAGGGACAGCCCACCTGTTTCCCTTCTTTCGGCCAAAGATGCTGGGATAGAGTCCAGCATTCCTGTGACCCTACATAGCAGAAGCAATATAGAGAGAGAGAATAGATAAATTGATGATTATTAGTACATGGTTACAGTCTGTGCTTTTGCTGAGTAAGGCATTCTCCTGTATTAACATCCATGTTGGCCCTGGAATAATATCAAATTTAAGTGATGTACACAAGATTAGGGTTGGGGTTTGGGACTAGGCTTAGGTTGAGGGCTGTGGATTGTACCATTCTGATCGACCAATCATCAGCCTTTGATTTTACCAATCACTGCCCCTTGAGTTGGTTGGGGTTAGGTTAGGGTTAGGACAATGTTTGACAGGAATGTTGCTCCAGGACACATCCTACTTTAATTTGCAATATGATGATCATTGAAAGTGCTATATCGCTCATGAAAGCTAATTAATCTGTAATGCATTCTAAAAGAGATTCAGTGAAACAAATCACACATTTTATGAGCACTTTATTTTTTCTGCTTTGATCTGTGAATTTTATAAGACGCTCTCACATGTATGGCAAAATTAGAGATCCAGGTTTTAGCCACAACATCTTTAATAAATAGTCAAAATATTTGTACAGTAATGTTCTCACTCCAACAAGATCTCCATTTTGGGTTTGTTGTAAGCGTATTTTTTCTAAGACAAGCTCTCCCAGATCAATTTCCAGGCCATCAGGCAGTTTGATTCATGCTGTGCCCACAAATTAATTTTCCATAGGTCTCACTTTTAACACTCCCTTGCTGCCTGTCAGCATAGACAGCAAGAGAAGTACCTGTAGAAGCTGACAGGTTTTCCACCCCCTGAGGGTCCCAGGCTGTGACCGATGTTGGGCTGTTCTGAGTGGTTTGGGGTCCCGCGGCTACACTTGTAAGGTGCTATTTGGCACAGCCCTCTGATTCCTCGCCCTTGCAGGCCACCTCAGGGTCCGAAATGTAAGAGGTGTGCGATCATATTTTATCCATAAATGGATTGAGCTGATCCAGGCAGGGACAGTAGAGCAATCTCATGCCTAATTAATGATGGGACTCCTGGGAGAGGTCTTGCCTCACACTTGATCTCTGGTAGAAGAGTAGTGAGAGCGTGCATATCCATTCATCTCCAGCAAGGGCTGTTCACTGTGCCCCGGGCCACTGTTTGCTCAATGATGCTTCTAAACACTAGGGAACAACAGAAGCAAGAGGCATTGTAGAAATGCTGACATGACTGAAGACCACACTGAGCACACAACCACATGCTGTTTAGTGGTGGTAGCTGTTTTTTTTATTATTCTTTCCACAGAGGGTACAGTCAGCGCCCTTGATGGAGCAATAATAGGAGTATCAATACTAATAGCTGCAAGCTGTTGTGCAACATTTTCTAGATATAGTTAGGCTGTAAGCGTTTTTCTCAACCAGGGTGTCTCGGACAAATTTGTCTGAAGGTAAAGGGCACATTCCCTCTGTTAGCTCTCCTTTAATGTGTGTTTTTTTGTCCTTGTATTCCAGCTCCTTGTCAAGTGTGAACACGAATGCTGCTTCGGTATGTGTTAGAGTACATACTGTACAGACTAGAGCTGGGGTCGACAACTGGTGGACTCCAGTCTGAATCTGGACCGTGAGATGCGTCCACCTGTACTATGTAGCCTTTTGACATAATGAAATAAATAAATGCCAAATGCTATTTTCAAATAAAATCAAATTTATATCAAGCACATCAAGATCGGCTCAGTAGAGCCGTTTGGGTTCTACGGTGCCACGGGTTGTTTCTATGGTTAACTTTTGCTACGGTCAGATGTGCAGTCGTGACTCGTGCATGCAGTGAAGAGAGCAGAAAGTGGCACGCAGACAGAAAAACAATGGCATTCTCAAAAATTAGGACAGTTGACGGACCCTTAAAAAGTCTAAATTTAGTTGTATCAAAATTAAGGCCATAAAAAGTCTTAAATGGTACAAGAAAGTCTTAATTATGTTTTCAGTAGGACTTAAATTTGAGGACGGTAAGACAAATAGCGATACGGCTTGATGTGACAAATAAACTTCAAAAGGACATGATTTTATTGAATAAATAAAGCTCTACACATTTCAAAGTCAGGTGTATCGCTGCTTTGTGTACTGCAATTACCGGGGAAACCGATATATATCTGCCGTTCCAAAGCCCGTCTGCTGTTTTTGTCCAGACCAACGTGAAAATCAACCCATGTTTTTACGTAGCAAACACAGAGCTGTAAATGTGAACTGGTGGATCGACAAGAAGATAATGCATTATAAAAATTTAAACAATTAAGACAGTAACATATATTTATATTTTATTTAATTAATATAATAATTGATTGATAACAATTGTTTAAATTAATATAATAATTGATACTTTTGACTCCATTTTCTTAAAAAAAAAAGTCTAAAGGCTGAAATGTGAAGTTTATCACTTTATAAAACTTTTTGTTTGTGAAAACCTGTATCTGAACTCATGATATCATGATTTTTACAGTTATTTTAATTTCATTTGTGCAGGTC